GGGCCGGCCATCCTGGCATGATCAGCCAATCGAGTCGGATCGGCCGCGCCACGATGCTTTGGAATAGAATCGGATCGGGCCATCTCTCATCGACATTGGATCGGACCGATCGGATTGAAACCGCCCCTATCCTGGTATTCCCGTAGGCGTAGGAATAAGTGGGCAGAAGCATGAGGTAGGAAGGCGTTGAAAGTGGACTGGGCTTCCACTCGCCCCCCGAAGAGGAGGGAAGAGGGACAACCGTTCGACTCTTGAAGCAGGAAGGCGCCTAAAGTAGATTGGAACCTGGGAATCCAAAAATACCTGCTCTTGAGTCGGGCGTGTCCCCCTACAGGGGGATTTGGGGGCGAAGAATAACAAGTACTCAGAAGATACCCCCACATGCTCAAAAAGAGTCAACAAAATCGTCCCCATACTATTTTTTGACAATTTTTGAATATTCCCCCCTGTAGAGGGACAGGCCCGACTTAAACATGCTCTCGACGACCGATGGGTGCGTGCGGGAGCTCTGCTCGCAGCGGCGGCCTCCCGAGCGACGCGCTGCGCCACTGTAGGCGCTGGCAGCGCGTCGCTCGGGAGGCCGGGGCCAGGCTCGGGAGAAGCGCGCCGCCAAGGCCACCTGCGGGCACGAACGCACTCCTCCTCCTCCTCCTCCTCCTCCCTCCTCCTCCTCCCCCTCCTCCTCCTCCTCCTCCTCCTCCTCCTCCTCCTCCTCCTCCTCCTCCTCCTCCCCCTCCTCCCTGCACGCCAGCGGTGAGGCTGCTCCTCGCTGCACGCCAGCGGTGAGGCTGGAAGCCTGCAGGCGCTCCGCCTGCAGGACACCAGGGCCATCCAGTGCACGGCGTCCTCGGCGCAGCCACGCTGAACACGAGGAGGCTCATAGGACACGTGGCCAGCTCGGCCAAGACAGGCCGCTGCCTCGCGGCCGTCCTCGAGCTGAGGCGCACCGACCAAGACCGAGGCTGCCGCTTGCCGTGCAACTGCCCCAGGTTGTGGCTGCACCCCTGGCTTTCCGAGCCGAGGATCGGGACAGGCATTTGACTACCTACCAGACCACCCCAACCCAACCCGAAGACCCGAATTTCGGGTTGGGGGGGAAAGGGTTCCACGTGTGTTTTGTCGATGCTTCCCGACCCCCCCCTACTGGAAATCGAGGGTAAACTTGAGCCTTCGGGTCGGGTTGGGGTGGTCTGGTGGGTGGTGAGCATCGAGGCGCCTTGGCCGTGGGCAGCCAGGCAGCTCATGGAGACGGGTCCCTCTGGGGAGACCAAAAGGTACCGATACCTCCCGATACCTCCACTCCCCAGACCTCTCCCGGGGTGCATTCTGACCCAACATCTCGGCGCGAATCTGGCGGTGGCGACGGTAGCCTCCCCCGAGGCCCCCCAACAGCGCAAAACGAGGGAAGGGCAGAGGTAGGGGTACCTCTTCCTCCTCTGACCCTCGCTGGGGAGCCGGAAACGCGAGGAGGCCACGCGCCAGCACTCATCGCACACCTCCTGCAGCATCGGGGGGGGGCCCGCCGCTGCAGAGCGGAGCGGGGCACAACCCGCGCCGGCAGGGTCTCCCCGCAGGGACGGCGCCTCGTCTCGGCGGGGGGCCCCGGGGGCCCGGCAGGGACTCGGCAGAGCTCTGCTCCTGGAGGCGGAGCTCCTCCTGCAGGGGGACGTGCCCGACTCAAACCTACACCCCTCCTCCTCCTCCTCCTCCTCCTCCTCCTCCTCCTCTTCCCCCTGCTCCTCCTCCTCCTCTTCCCCTCCTCCTCCTCCTCCTCCTCCTCCTCCTCCTCCTCCTCCTCCTCCTCCTCCTCCTCCCTCTCCCCCCTCCTTGCCTCGGCGGCGAGCAAGGGGGGGAAACTAGAAAGAGAAGGCCTTCTCAGAGGGCGGCGGGACTTCTCAGAGGCCCTCGCGCCTTCCCAAAGGTTTGTGGTGTCTTCGGGGAAAGCTAAAAAAACTGCTCAGAAGGCTTGGGGACTTCCGAGCCTTCTGAGAAGGCCCGCCCCATCTCATTTTCCCCCCTCGCTCGTCGCCGATCAGAGGTAACAGTGGTCCCAGGCCTCTTTTCGTTTTTGCGGTCAGGTCTCCGGGGCGGGGCCGACAGCAGGTCCCTCGGGAGGTACACTCGTTCTCGAGAGAGGTGCTCCCGACGGGCACCAGCTGGCCGAGCTGATGCGATACAGTGCGGCAGGAGGCACCCGGCCCAGGCAGCGCATCGCAGGCGAGGCAGGCAGCATCGAGAGCGCGGATTGTGTGAAGCGCGGAAGGGGCGCCTGAGACAGCATTTCACGGGTGCTGGCTTTGTTCCAAGAAGACCAACTCTTCAGCCTCCGCAGAATCAGACAGACTGGCTGCACACGTGTCCAGCCAATGCGAAGCAGACGCATGTTTTTGGTTACGCGGCATTGTGCCAGCGGAGTGGACCTCAGTACCGGCCCCTGTCTGTGCACTCTTCTGGCTTGTCAGCGGAGCCGAGGGTACCTTGCAAGGGGGTCCCTAGGCACTCACTCAAGCCAAACCCCTCTCATGACTCTTGGTGACGCTAGCAGGGGGGCGGGGGCCGACTCTCAGGATGAGACTTTCCGCCGAGTGGGCATAGGCCTCGCGGCCATATTTTCCTTTGACCACTTCGCCATCGAGCTATCCAGCAAGGGCCCGCTTCCAGGCCCTAGGCAGACGGACGCCCGTGGCGAGCTGTTGAGTCTGACTCTGAATGTAGAATTTCGCGCTGGCATGGTGATCTATGTCACCGGCAACGGAGCGGTGAAGATCGGCTCGCACCAAAGTAGGTTCGACAGACCTGGCGAGGACAATGCCATCCTTTGAAGCCGTCTTGGGAAACGCCGGGAATCCAGCGATTTCGACGCCACCACCGTGCTGCAATGTTCCTCCCCCCAGACGGCGGACGATCTTGTCTGCTCCAGGTGACCCCAGTGGCTTGCACTGGGGAACGCTATGGCGCATGAGGTTGCGGGGGAAGCAGCCCTTTAAGATCGAGTGTCACATACTTTGCGATGTAAAATTGCGCAGGCGGAGCAGACGGCTCGAATAGTCAGACACCGCCTCCTCCGCGCCAACCTCGAGGCGGTCCAAGCAGAGAAAAAGGTCGAGCGCTGTTGTCAAAGGGGTCCCCTGACCACGCCCTCTGCTGCTGCCCTTGCCTTCTTGTTCCCCTCGCACGCTCTGTCCAAGGATGGAACTAGTTCCTCGAGATGTCAAGGCAGCTCGTCCCAAGCGACCCTGACTCACTGGAAATGCAACCCGTGCCAGTAACGGGCCAATGTATACACACCCGAGCCGGCTGGAACTCCTGCCAGCCACTCTTTGCTGCTTAGTCGGAAGCTGAAGATATGGTTTTGGAGCTCGCGTGGGTTCTATGGGAGCCAAGTAGTTCGGGGTTTCATCAGTGAGCATCTGTCCTCCACGATGTTAGAGCCCAAGCGAAGAGTTGAGCTCACGCCCTCGAGGCGGAGTTATTGTCTAGAACATACGAAGGTACATTCACAAAATATGAATCGCCTTCACCAGAGCCGAGCCGAATGCTCGTACTGGCACGTTTCGTGCATGTCACATCGCTTCGCGATCGGTCCTACAATATTCCTCCTCCTCCTCCTCCTTCTCAGTATCCTTAGGTGCTGTTGTATTTTTCTCGTGGGGGCAGTTTCTGCTACAAGGTGCCGCGCGTCGATGCGACTTCGACGCCAGTCGATCGAAGCACAGAAATAGATCGAGAGCCGCGCACCTGGGACGGCACTCGCTCAAGACATCCTGGAAGAGACGGGCAAGGGAGGGAGGGACGAGAGAAAGGAGGCTTGAGCATATATTATGTCAACACGGAGACATCACCCGAAACAATGCCCCTCACCTTCCCGTGCGAGCACGCACAGGTGCTGTTGTATTTTTCTCGTGGGGACAGTATCTGCTACAAGGTGCCACGCGTCGACGCGACTTCGACGCCAGTCGATCGAAGCGCAGAAATAGATCGAGAGCCGTGCACCTGGGACGGCACTCGCTCAAGACATCCCAAACCCGACAAGGGTTACCCGAGCCCTCAAGGTTCCCAGGGACGGGCGGGACAGGGCACCAAAAAGCGAGAAAGAAAGCTTAAAACCCCACGCAGGCGGGACAGAAGGCCGGCGTCAGCCAGACACAAAAGAGGCAATGCGATCACGCTCATGAGACAGTAACGTCTGGACCATGGCTCTACACAAGGTAGGGGGGCAAGAAGCTGCAATGGCCGTCCACTTTACACCTGATGGCGCGGCTCCTTCCAGTACGAAATGTTCCCTACCCGTGCGACTGCACACTCCTGAGCTCCCTTTACACCTACGATCGAAGTTCATCGTATCGGACATGCCTACGAAGAAGAAGGCAAGCTTTGTGCGTTTCCGCCAACAACGTCCGAACTGACACTGATCAAAAGTCCTAGTGTGGCCTCTAAACCTTTCAAGGAGACCTATAAGCTCAGGGGTGTGCCAAATTCTAGAATTGAGTGGATGCTCAAGGATTGTTGGAACCTGACATCTACACAAAGCTCGTAAAATCTGCAAGGCGCTCCAAAAGACTTTGTTGCCGCGCTCAAGGCGCTCACACTGACGTCTAGTCAACCCGTTAGCATCTAAACCCCACGGCTGCAGCCTCGAACGGATGGGGCCGCGTCTGCCTCGGTCCGCCGCTCCGCCCCAGGCGTCGCACGGCGGGCCCAAGACGGCACCCAACACTTCCTTTCGTGATATCGCCGCCGTCACACACTTGATCACTCTGGGCTCTGTCAAGTCCTCGTGGGGCCCGCGGGCACGATCGCACGCGCGAGCGTTGCAACCCTGCTGGACCGCGGCCCGTGCGACGCCGCCTGTCCCCGAGCAGAGGTCGAGGATGTAGCGGCCTCTGAAATGCCCCGCCAAGGGAGCGCCACGCCGTGCGGTCTGCCGCAGGGTATGTCCTCGAGCGCTCCCTCGCATGCCTCCAGCAGCTGGCGCACTCCGACTGGAAGAAGCTCCTAACTCTCCCCCAGCCTGGCGCCCTTCTCGTACCGCTGGACACTCTTGATGCTTGCCCACTGTCCGCGACGCTGTGCCTCGGCCACCGTCCGATACCTCCTTGCGATGTCGATCGACGGTCCCGAGTGCCGCGTCTGATACGGCACTATCGTCTCTGTGATGCCGAGCTCGGACAGCGAGGTCTTGAACTCCTGGAGATACTGAGGATACGTGAAGGTCCAAACCACCTCGTCCTTCGGCCCGCTGGCCAGTACCCTCAGGATCGGGCCTATGAACTGCGAGTAGGGCGAGTCCATCTCGATGCTGACGTCGCTGAGGTTGGTCTTGCTCCGCTCGATCTGCTGAGAAGGGAAGAGCAGCAGGCTCCAGAACGGGGAGATGCCAGCAGCAGGCGCAATCACGCCACGCGCCTTGAGGCCCATCAGCTCGTTCGGCCTCAGGTAGCTGCTGAGCGAGACCAGAAGGAAGACCGCCATCTGCAAGATGTTTCGCTCGACTAACCTCCAGGCTACTCCAGCCCGCAAGGCTAGGGGCCAGCTGCGCCTGCTGCGGCCAGTGGCCCGGCGCCGCCAGCCTTTCAGGCAACGAAAGGCCCGGGGGAGCTGGCGGTGGCCAGCCCGCGAGAACTCTGGCGCCAAGCACATCAGGCCAGCAAGGATCTGCCCCCCTTTGTTGGCATCCCAGCCTTTGAAAAAGAGGAAGTTGCAGTACTCCACCAGCACGCCGTCGACTTGCTCGTCGCGCACCAGCGGCCGCTCTCCTGCGAAGTCCGTGAAGCCCGCCACCTCGGTCTGGTACCGTTTCAGCGCCCTGGGCGTCACCCGAGGAAGCTGCTGAGACCCCCGGCTGCGGTCGCCAGGGCGGTGTCGAAGAACTTGCGCCTCCTCTGGTGGCCCGTGCGCCGCAGCACTGCCCTCCGCGCGGCGCCAGGCCCTGGCCTCTCCTCGTCGCCGGTGCTGCTGCTCTCGCCGACGTCTGCCAGCGCGGGCTCGCGCCTCAGGCGATCCTCGCTGTCGGGGAGAGTCAACTCCTGGCGTTGACAGCTCAGCCTGTCGCGCAGCACCAGCTGGACATCCTGCGGCCGCAAGGTGGCCTTTCTCTGGTTGGCCAGCTTCACGTGCCCTCGCTGGCACTTGCTTGATCGAGGCTCCGTCGGTGGTAGGGTCGCCTGCCGCTTGCTGGGAGGCATCGCCTCTCTGACTCCCGAAATCGGAACGATCGCAGAAAGTGCATGGTAAAGCTTGAGACGAAATGTCTACGTACCTCCCGAGCGGAACGGCAGAAGAGGGGACAGCTAAATTACATCGGTTCGGGGATTGCGGGCATGCCGAAGTCTCCTTTAAACTGCTGCCTTTGATACTCAAAAATGAAGGAATATCATCAACCAAAATCTTACTGGCACTGCTATTCTCGAAAATCCCAGCACCCTTGTCCGAGAAGTTTAATTCGGAAGGGATCCAGCGCACAGCCCCTAAAACGTTCCTGGCCAGGCAGTGGGCCTGGAAAACGCGGATCTGAACCAGCAGCAACAAGTTTTTGGCACGGCTTCGGCCGAAGGCGAGGGTGACCGACATATTGTCGCACAACAGAAGCTGCCTCACGTCGCGCACTTGTGAGCTAGTTACAACACGAATGAAGCCTTTGACTAGGGCACGAGCCTCCTTAACCAAGATCCCCTCAGAACGTTGCCACTTCTGCACTCTCACCAGCCGCCAAAGATCTGACTTCAAAAGGCCAGCAGGCACCTCGGGGAACGAGAGATCCACTTCCCAATCTGGTGCCTCTTCGGAGGCGGCACCCTCCTCAAAACCTTCGGCGGCGGCGACTGCCCAGCTGCCGTCCGCCTGCTGACTGAAGCCGGCTGCCTCGAGGGCACTCTCTCGCGCTCGGTGAGAGCCCACGCGGCGGAAGCGCTGCCGCTCGGAGGTGCGGCCCGCCTCCCGTGCGGCCTGCGCGGGCCAGAGCGCCTGCGCCACCGCGTACCCCTCGAGGCCGCTGTCGGTCTGGACCACCAGGTCGTTCCAGCAGCGCAGCCAGTCACTGAACATGAAGATCATGAGGGACTTGAAGGCCTGCAGCTTGGAGCGGCATTCGCCCCGCAGCGGCTCAGCTCGGCCCGAGGCGCGACCCCGCTCCACGAAGGCATATACCGAATGGAAAATGCTTAGCAGGCCTCGGCAGCACAGAGCGGCGAACGCGCAGTGGCCCAGGACGACCTCTAGCGCCCGCGCACAGGCTCGACGGCGCCGCAGCAGCGCGCCCAGCGACTGGTATATGCTCCAGAAGCGCTCGGGCGTGACCCGCGTCCGCAGCGCCGTCCCGTCGAGCTCCGTGCCAAGCGCGATGATGCTGCCGCGTGTCCGCTCCGACTTGTGAAGCATTAGCCCCTCGCGGTTGAAGCCCTCCTCCAGCCGCTCGAGCGCCTCGCCAACTGCAGCCTCGCAAACACATATCACCCCGAGGTTGTCTACGTAAACGTAATGACTGAGCGCTCCGTGGCCCCCGCCCAAGGCAGGCGTTACCACCAGCGGCGGCCCGCGATCGTGCAGAGGGGACCCAGGGAAGGCGCAACCTTGGTCACAGTAGACTCGTTGACTCGTTGATCCTCTGGGCGATCCACAAGCCCCAGGTGAAGCCCATGGGGAACGCGGCCCAGCACGGCGCCACTGCCTCCGCGCGGCCGAGGGCTCGCCCGTTCACCTCCGCGCCCGCCGCGCCCATCACGTGAGCTGGCGCGGGAGGGGGGCAGGAGTAGTCTGACAACCAGGCAGGCACCGTAAAAAATCCCCCAACAGCTTTGCGGCCTGCTCGGAACCCAGCGGCGCGTCAGCCGGCAGCTAGACCTATATCCTCGACAGCCCCTTCCGAGCTCAAGAGGGCGACCCCAGGCGGCGCCTGGAAGCACTCGTTGGCCCGTCTGGCATCGACTATCAGTCTCTGGGCCGCACCGCCGTCCCTCTCCACCGCGAAGAGGCCCACCTGACATTTAGGCGAGCTGGTCCAGGTAATAATGCCGATGTCTGTCAGACGAAGGAGGAGCCGATGATATTCTTTCTGATTGAAGCGTAGCTTAGGATCAAAGTAGGGAATCGTCTCATACTTCTCAACAGGCGGCGCCAACATACGCTCATGATAGTCCCCCAGAAATCCAATGTCCTCAGAGGGCGCCACGTCAGCGGACACCCTCGAACAGAACCTGGGAGGCTCAGAAGGTCGAGCTTGAAAGGCGTGACCCTTGTCGGACAGCCCGCCGCCTGATACGGGGAATGTCCTTGAAGCAACTTCTTGAGAGCCGCCTCGTCGCTGAGCTGCGGAGGGCGCGGGTACCAGCTGTCGACCAACTCACACACCCTCCGCTGAACGTCCACCTGCACATCGTCGGGTAGCACGTCCGGGCCGCGATCCGCCCACAAAAACTCCTTCCAGCCCGCCATCCAGCTCAGTGCTTTCGGCGCGACATTCGCCATTCCTAGGCGACCGCGGCCGCGCCCGGGGCGCGCCGAATCCAGCGGCAGGAGAGGAAGCGGAAACAAGCTTCGCTGTCCCCGCGAGGCCGCCAGTCTGGGGCGGCCACCAGCCCCCTGAAGCCGACCAGGGTCGAGGGACCCCCTGGCCGGCGGGGCCGTCATGCAGCCCCGGGGGCGCCGGCGCGGCGGCCTCGGCCTCTGCCGCCGTCGCCGCGTCCACGACCGCCCCCGCCTCCCTTGTCCTCGCCCCCAGCGCTCCTGCCAGCGCCACCGCCGCCACCGGCGCCGAGGTCGCCCTCCAGCGCGCCCGAGGGGGCGCCGCGCAGCGCCTGCAGGCCTTCTCGATCCTCGCGTATCTTGCGCGCCACGTGGGCCCGCAGCACTGGGCCAGCGACGTCCTCGGCTGACTGCACGCCCGTGTAGTACTTCGCCACCTCCCACTGCACGCGTTGTGGATTAGCGTGCGCCGCCACGATGCCCGCCAGTCGCTTGCACAAGACCCCCAGCGCCATCAGACCGCCCAGATTCACCTGGTCGTAGCAGCCATCCTTGCACAAAGACTCGCATATACAACGTAGCTCGTGGGCGACGCGGTCCGCGCTGGCCAGCCCCTTCTCTCGAAGGTACTCACGTAGCCAAAGCCTCGGATCGCCGCCCACTCTCAGCATACTCTTACAAGTAGTGAGCGCACTCGGGGGGGGCATCCATCGGCTGGTTACTGAACTCCTCCTGGCTACTTTCATGCACCGCCTCGCGCCAAGGCTTGAAGCGCTCGCCCTGGCCGTCGAAGTCCACCGCGGGCAGCCTGACATCCTCACTCTTGATCGGCGCCGCGGCGGCCTCCCCAGCCTGGGCGGGCGCCTCGGCGGGCGGCGGCAGCGGTGGGCGAGCCAGGCGATCTCGAAGGTCCGCCTCGGCGCCCGCTCCTGGCAGCCCCAGGCGACGGCGCAGCTCGGCGGTGCGAGTGTCGGCGTACTCGGGTACGTCCTCGACTGGCATGCGCCTCACTCTGGCGAAGCCGTCGTCCACGAAGATCAGCCCCGAGGTGTCCGACGCGCCAACGAACGTCGCCTTGCGGATGTCCACCTCGCTGCCGATGGCAGCGGAAAGGACGGGTTCCGCCAGTGCCCAGACGTGCCCAGCTAGCAGCGGCAGCGTGTCAGCCGCAGGCTCCTCCGCCTCCTAAGCCTCGGGCGCGGCCGTGCCGCCAAGTGCCACCTCGGGCCTGGGCCGCGCGACCAGAGCCGCAGTCAGCGGCTGCTTGCCTCGAAGCCGCACTCCCGGCGCGTGCGGGAAGCTGCCACCGAAGAAACGCCCGATCGGGGTCAGCCCGCCAGCGGGCTCCTGCACGCGCTCGGGCACCACGGGTCGCTGGCCAGGGCGGCACTCCGCCTCGCAAGCGCTACGGCCCCATAGGATGCCCTCTCGCAGCTCCACGGCACCGACCCGCTCCGGGAAGCGGTACAGCTTACGCCGCCCTCGGCCTCTAGCCCCAGGCGGCAGCGAGCCATCGGCGGGCAGCAAGCGGCAACGCACA